CTGCTGAACAGCTAATGTCTCCTTTATGACATGAAAAATCTGAGGTCCACACCAAGTAAGAGGCAGAGCCAGGACATGAAGCCGGTTCACCAGGTAACTTGCTTGAGCCACAACTGCCATCCCATAGTCCTTGTGTTCCAGGCAGCTCATGATAACTGTCTATGGATCGGGTCTACTCTCACTGCCTGGCTCACAAAAAAGTACTCACAAGCATCTGTTAACTACCTCTCACCCTCTGGCTCCCAGCCCGCTAAATGCCGCTTCTTCAGGAAACCTGCCCAACTCGGCCCTCCATTCTCCGATTAGCTCTCCATTATGCCTTTCCTTCGCCACTAAAGTCTCAGAATAGTGACAGCAGCAGCCAGATCTGATTTGCTCACATAGTCTAACGACGGCACACGGAAGACACACGTCAGACCCACATCTTCCCATGACCCGCGCACCCACCCGAGGGAAAGCTATGTCAAAGACCACCTCAAACACAAGGGCACCCTGCTCCTTTGCCTCGAGGGATAATGTGCCCTGACTTCAAAGCTCTGAGAACAGAGTCATGGGCACTGCCTCATGGAGCCGGGCTTCGTGCAGTCCACAGCCCAGAGCAAGGGTCCCTGGCATTGACATGCAAGTATATCCTTCCTCTTTAGAAATCAGCTCAATGGTTCTGAGAATTTCTCTACCAATTAAGTAGAAATAAATTCTTTGAGCAGGCAGGGTCTCCTTTTATTTTGCTGCTAAAGTCCATCTTTCTCTGCTAATATCTGTGTCATCTGTTTCACTTATAACAAAAGAACTGGACACTCGTGAAACCCCTTTATTCAATGGCAACATGGTTAAGTAACTGAATACAAAATTATACTTATTTTAAAAGACTTTCAATAAATAAAAATACGTGACACGCATCTGTATCTTGGTTTCTAAGTGCCACTTCAACTAAAAGGAAAGCTCCTTGTAGAAAAGGCTGATGCCAGGATGGGGCATGTTGCCTAGAATATCTCACTGCACCAAAAAGTCAGGAGTGCTCAAACAATGTTTGGGACATGTCAAAAGAACACAGAAGCCAGCCTGAGAGGGCTCACAGTGGCCACAAGTGGGACACTCTGGGCATCAAAATGAATAATGACTAGGTTAATCACATTGAACAAGTTATCAGTAAGAACTAACATAAATAAACCACTGAATAATTAGGGAAGAAAACTCTTCTTAGAGTAAGATGACACCTAATACAGATGGAATAGGTCTTAAAAGTATCACTAGATGCTGAAAGTGGAGGGTCAAAGTCTGAAGAGGAAAAGGATATTTACAAAGCCTCAAAGTGTCTCCTCATAAATTATTTATTAATTGCAATGGGAAAAACGGCAACTTTACAACAGAGAAACTGCTAGGCACCTCCTTAACCAGAGCCAATCATGAGAACAAACCAGGACAAACCAGTATCTCAAGCCAACTCACATGGGGCTATCAAATATGCTACTGCGACAACAGAGGCTATCTGGATATGGACTGTAGATCAGATGATATACCAATGTTAAATTTCCTCATATTGATAGACGTACTCTGGTTACATAAGAGAATGTTTTTGTTCTTAGGAAATACACAATTAAGTATTTAGAAATAAAGGGGTATAATGTTTGCCAATTACTCAAAGATAGTTCAGCAGAAAAAATATAGATAGAAAGAAAAGTATAGATAGAAAAGAAAGAATGACAAAGTGAACAAAGAAAAATGTAACAAATGGTGACTCGAGTATTTAGGAATTCCTTTTACTATTCTTGAAATTATTCTGTAAGCTTGAAGTTAACGAAAATATAAAATAGAAAGAAAATAAGTGGTAGGAAAAAGGAACATGGGGCACAGTAGGAAAAAGGAACATGCCTCTCCCCTCAGGACCTCAGTTCTTCCCTGGTGAGCAGGGATTCCCATCAACAGCTGTGAGGCAAAGTCAGCCATGACTCTGTAAATAAACTGTGACAGCCTACGTGACCCTAACCCCACTACTTACGTCACGCCCAGCACTTGCTCAACTAGCGTTCCAGGCACAAAACCCCCAGACTGCATGATTCAAAACACTGAGCCCGCCATGCCCACAAGCCCTCCAAGTTTGTAAGGAGAAACGAGAGCATTTTAAAAGTATTTTCCTCCAGAAATACTACAAAGACAAAATACACAAAAAAAGAACATTGTTTTTTAAAAGTGATGGGTTATAATGGAAGAAAATGTTAAACACTGGTGCCTGAAATTACTACATTGGCTATGTTTGCTTAAGATTAAAAATAGTTTCATTTTCCCTTCCCAGGAACTGTCCCTCCTGGAGGAAAACACACCAACCAGACCATCACCAAGTTCGGATGTCCCAGATCCAGCAGATCCAGCAGCCTGAAGCCAGGGTTTCTCTCAGATTCCCAGTCACGACTCAGAAGATACACATTAAGCCTCACAATGATGCCATCAGCTGTCTGGTCCTTACCTTACCCACCGAAATATGTGACTTTTCCCTTACTTTCACTAAATTGAGTTACTGTCAAACTCCTTCATTAAAGACATGAGGTAGAAGAGGAAGGAAGGTGAGAGACAGGTTGAAACAGCAGGAGATGGCCGTTTGTCCCTCTCATACTGTTTGATTAATGGCCTGGTGGGCGGCGGGGTCATAATTCAAACTGGGAGTGATGGTACGTCATAGTTAGGTGGCATGAGAATGTGGGAGGGTGAGTATCCAGACGACTTATGAATCAAAACATGGTCCTATGTTTTTCTACTCAAACTTGACTACCTCAGAGGAAAATTGCTATGGAGAATTTATGGGCTAATTATTCCAAGTAATAAGGTATCCGTGGGGCTCTTTGTTCCTATTGTTGCTTTCCTAGACCAGTCCTCCCGGCTCGCCCTAGAACTCCGGGCTCAGCGCAGTGGGAAAACAGATGTGAGCGCTGAGCACAAGGAGGACAAAGCTGGGGTCTCCTGAGTCTAATCTTTATACTGTAGTCTTGCTGTTCTGAAAAATTTCAATCTTTCCAAGGAGTCTATGTTTGATGCCTGTTGTCCTTCAACAGAGGGGCAGGGCTGGGGAGGAATGCTGGATCCAGCTGTCCTAGAGGTGGCACCCACCAGACTCTTGGGGTACTGGGGAAAGAAGCATCTATGCCAGGCCAGTGTAGCCAACTGGGACAGGCAGCCGTGTGCCTAAGAACAGTATACTAACCAATCCACCCACATCTTTCTTCCAGATCAGCCTAACTTGCACACACGAACAACAGCCCAACAGAAAGCGGTGCCCACAAGAGCGACTGATGTTCCTAAGATGACCCTTCCAACTCTATATATACCAAGCTGGTTCCTGGTTCAAAAGCTTCCTGGAAAAACCAGGTGACCTAAGCAACTCCACCAAGATGAGGAGTAACAGGACTGGGAGCCACATCCCACCATAAGGACCATGATACAAACTCCCGGAAAAGAACACTAGGGCCTGAAAGATGGAGCATGAAGCCCCTCAGCAGATGTTGTGGTTACATCACCTTCTAGAGATACGCATGATAAACTATTGATGGACGAAATGACAGGTCTGAGACATGCTTCAAAATAACATGGAGTAGGGCAGTGGTTGAGAGTATGAATGGGGCAAGAGTGGCCACTGGTTGGTGGTGTCGGGGCTGGTAACAGGCACATGGGATCCACTGCACTAGTCTGTCTTTGGGTGTGCTTGAAATTCTCCCTAACAAAAAGTTCAAAAATAAAACACAACAAGAGGCACATAAACAAAACCCCCAGTAATTCACTCTTAGGTATATACCCAGAAAACATGGACAAAAACATTCATGTCAGTATCATTCACAATGGTCAAAAACTGGAACCCAAATGTCAAAAACAGGAAAAACAGTAAACTGTTATATTTATATGAGAAATCTAAACAACAACAAAAGAGAACAAATCACTACATAGATCCACCCGGATGTCAGAGACATGAGAGTAAATGCATTGAGCTGCAATGTACATTTACATATTTTGATATATGTAAATTATACTTCGATTTTTAAAAAAATAGCGAGGTCAAAAAAATCGAACACTGCTAGTTATCAGGGGATTCAGTGAAACATCTTTATTTATAAAAGAGTAGATTTTTAAAGGCTAAAGAATAAGAAAACTCAGCTCTGGCCTGGGATCATTTTGATCGGGGTTTGCTAACCTGCCTGCTACCTGCCAATATCTGAGGTGAGAGCAGGAACTCCCTCTATTGACCCCGACTGCTAGCTGATCACAAACATCAAAGAACACCAGAGCAGCCAACACCAGAAAACACGGTTTTAACTTCCGCTTCACCTCCTAAGCAGCTAGCCATGCTTGTGGTCTTGACTTCACCAAATTCTGAGAAATTCAGGTTTCAGTGCAGTGGTTGAGATCTCTCACACAGGAGATTCGGCACTCCCCTCACTGCCATGCCTGCTGCTGGCCACCTGACAATACCTCGGGCAGCTCCCAGCAGTGCCCAGCAGCCTCGCCAGCCCTCCTCCAGCACACCCCACGCCTCCCTGAGTCTGGAATTCCTTACATTCTCCTCCTTAAAGGACGGTCCTCACAAAACTTGGATTCAAAACAAGAAAACAAAAACTGGTCTAACTCCTTGGACCTAAGTAACCTTAGAGGACATACAAGATGCAAAAAATCTGAATTTACTTGGCTTCGAAATTATTTAGGTATAAAATAAATGAAAATTTAAATATATGAAATAATAGCACAGCAAACAAAAACACCACAAGCATCTGCTAAGTGAACCAACACTGGGGAAAGCCAGATAAATCCTGGTACATTACATGACAACTCTTCTCCTGGGCAAGCCCCACCTGGACAAAAGGCTTGGTATATACACAGGTAAAGGCCAGCCATCAGCACAGCCCTTCCCCACTAGATCCTCACAGCAACAGTGGAGGCAACAGCTCTGTCTCTGAGGTAAGCACAGTCACCAGACATAGGCTTCGGCTGCCCATCAAATTCTGGGGTAAACTGGAGTGAGGCCTGAACACAAGAAAGCCACAACCAGCTGACAAGTTCTTGGGCCTCGGGCCTGGGCCTACTGTCACACTGAAGCAATACTGTGGCCCTCCACACGCCCACATCTTCAGCCACCTGCCAGCATGGCAGCAGCACTGGCAGCTGCTACACCTCCCTATTCTGTAAGGCAAGCCTCTGTCCCAGAGCTTGAGATGGAGCAGGGAGGGCACAACCACAGCCCACAGAACCTTCCACTATCCACCCAGCTCGCCCTGGCGGATGGTGCAGACACAGGGAAAGACTAGATTCCGGCTAAGCCCTACTCACTTCTCCATTTCCCTACTGCTCAAGTTGTGCCCTACACGGAGAAGCGGGAAAATCTTCTAAAATAGCTTTCAAACACAGAGAAAATCTGTAAAACACAATACTCATAAGACAGCATTTTTTTAGGCAACCATTTAATTCGTCAGACCAACAACTTCATTTTACAGATGGATAAACTGAGGCTTCCATAGTCCCCCAGATGGTGAGCAATCAAGCAGGACGAGAATCCCTCCTAAGCCTCAAACAACCTTTCTCCTATCAGAACGCAGAAAGAAAGGAAGTTGAAGAGAGGGGACGAGATGAGGGACAGATAATGAGAGACAAGGGAGTTGAGAATCAGGAGAGAGAACAATGTGAAGGAAGTAGGGAGGGTCCGAGAGGGGGAGAGCACTGTGAACCCATCACAGAGAACTGAGCAAGAGGAGACATCTGGGCTTTTCCTTGCTGGGAGGCTGGCGAGACTAGTTTGACAAGGACTAAAGAGCCACCAAGAGGCTGAGCTGGGCTGAGCTGAGATGTGGTGCTCTGGGTACCTGCTCTAAACAAAGTGTGGAACGATGGGAAAGCAGCACTCTGGAGGAAAGACCCAAACCACCCAGCCTTGTCAAATGGACGGAGCCTGAAGCTGATCAAGCCTCAGGATCCAGCTGTCAATTCACAGAAAATAAGGAGAACAGCTGAATTGCACCCTGAGACACAATCTGCTCCATCCGGACTGTGGGAGACTCCACAGGTCTAAGGGCGCAGGTTCTTCAGCAGATAACTGTGAGGAAGGGGGATTGAGTGGGGGAACCGTAAAGAGATTTAAAGGATATACCGAGTTTATAAATGGACAAAACTAGGGAGACCACTTAGGAAGACCAGGTGCCGTAGGCGTAAAAAATAAAAAATAACAAATTGTAAGCTGACAAGGTCCTTGCAATCTGTGAGGTCATCCAAAGGTTGCCTTGCCTAAAAAATAAAATAAAATAAAAGTAAATAAAAGAAGTAAATAAAATAAAATGGACAAAACTATACAGTGCCTAAGAATGCACATTTGGAAGCTAAAATCATAAAGAAACCTAAAGAAATGGATATAGGAAGACAGGATGGGGGTCATTTTTAGAAGGAAGGAGAGGGCTGTAGCAGGGTTGGGGCCCACGGAAAGGCCTCTTCTGGGGCCAACGAAGCTATTTCTTGACCTTCTAATTCACTAAACTATACTTTTTTTTGAGGGGGAGTGTCTTGTTTGTGTTTTATTTTATACTAGTAAAGTCTTTTTAAGGTCTAAAAATATATTTTTTAAAATTAGATGAACTAAACATAAACCTAGCCCTGGAGACTTTGCAAAGCAGCATGCGCAGGAAAAGAACTCAACCAGGAATGGTGAACAAGAGGGTGGCCCCGCAGTCCACAGGGTGGGTGCCTCTCTTTGATTCTGGGGTTCAGCATTAAGAACCCCCAATGGCCTGGTCCTGTGCCCACCCGCATGATTCCTTTATCCATCTTTCAACTGGTTCCCAGAGATAGAGGAAAAGCATTTTTTTTTTAAACTGGGTGCCCCCAAATCCCAATGTGTCCCCTTCAGTCATTACTGTCTCCAGTGCAGACTTTCCCGACTCCCACACCCTGAAGGGTTTTAACTTGCTCCCCGGGTTAAGCGCACACACGGCCTCTTAGGCTCCAGCATTCCGCAACTCTGGGCTAGTCCCACCTCACCGCCTCCGCTTCTGTCCAGAGGCTGGCGCTCTATCTACCCACCACTACTCCATCATCTCAGGACTGGCCAGAGTCTCTATACCCACCACCCATCCCAACCACTAGCTGAGTTGGCCCCACTGTGGCCTCAAGTCCCACCCTTCACTAACCCCAGCCAGTAACCGCTTGCCTCCTATCTCTTCCAGCTGACTTGGGGATTAACAGAGCAAACCCAGCAAAGTTCCTCCACTCACTGAGTTATCTTCTCCCACCCCTCCCCTTTCCAGAGTTCACCTTCTCTAATCCCCCTCCCATCTTTTCCTGCAATTATCCCCCAAAGTCCATTCCCCCACCCCATACACCCTCATCCAAATCATCATTAAATTAAAAAGGTTGCCATGATTTACTCTGACCAGTCCCTGAAAACCCCTCTTGCAGGCCCCACCAGAATCACCTAAGGCATGGCATCAGAGACAGAAAATGGCTCGATAGGTCATAGACACATTTGTGTGCAACCAAATGTCAGCTTGGCTTTGAAAATCATCTAGAACTGCCTACCAGCTCTCCTAGATCCTCTCCCTGACCCTTCACCTCGCCCCCTCCCCACTCCTCCTTAGGATGAATCAGAGGCACAGTGACTGCCTGTGGTCACTTGCCAAGGGCGGGACCCTCGGCCTCTCCAAACCACACTTTCTTCTGAAAAATACCAACTGAAGTAAATTAATATTCACTCCTCCCCGCTCTTTTGCCTGATCAGGGCAGGGGCAGGGCCCATACCCATCTCATCCATCACCAGTTAGCAAAGTGCCTAGGACATGACAGTGACTCAAAAACTATCTGATGAATGAACAAAAAACTGACACCCAATGCCAACAGGGCCTGCCCACTGGGTGTCAGCTGACAATCCCCTCCTTAGTCCATAGGCTAGCCTATCTCGGAAGGCTGCTTAATAGTCAGTATCTAATCTTTAACACTTCCTTGATCAAATTCCTTTTTTCTTTAATTTTTCCTAATTATAAATATAGATTCATTAGGTGGGCTAATGCATGAAAAGCACTTAGAAAAGGACCTGACAATTAAAAAAAAATACACACACACACCCACACACACACACACACACACACACACACACACACACACACACACACAAGTACAGTCTTAATCCAGTCACCCATAACCTCTCATGCGTGTAACATTTCTGTGCTTCGGACAACCTACACGAGCAGAAGAGCGAGGGAACAGGGACATCACTACGTGCGCCACCAGGTCCGGCTTTTTCCATCCCAGATCCAAGTCTGAAACAAAACTGCCAAGGTCAATAATCTCCCCCCAATGACAAGGAGTCTGGAGTCCCTGCAACAGAAACAACCTGCTTCCACACCAGGGTTTGTCTGTTCTACTGAGAACTGGCTCCCATCCAGCGCCCTCCTCCGGACAGACGCCTGTTCTACACTGCCCAGGACCACTTTGGCTGGGATACGCCCTAGGGGCCCCGCTTCCTCTCTGCCCTATCAGAGGGTTTCCGGGGAGCATTTAGAGCTTTATTTTAAGCTCCTCTCTGCTGGTAAGGTGTCATTTTCTTATCTGGTATTAGCCAACTGCCCTACCCTCATTGGCCTCTAACACGAAGTTCAAAAATCAAATGCCTCCATTATCTGGAAATCACCTGGAAACCAGAGGCAGCTCCCCACACCCTCGCAACACAGAATCAAAAGAGTGCCTTTGTCACCTGGAGGCCAGAATCCAATTTCTGTCTTTAGGACAATTGTTCTCTGCTCAGAGTTTGGGCTCAGTGCCTGTACCCTCATCCTCCTCACACGCCGAAGCTCTGTGCTCCATGTGTCCCTTCAGGAGTCAAGGAAGCCCCAAACAGTTCAGGTTTCCAGGGCGGATGCTGACCTTACAGAGCAAGGTTCAGGCGTTCCATATTAAGTTCATCCTATTAACGGCAACAACAAAAAATCTTAAGATTCTTGCTCTAAAGAGTTCCGACCCTATAGCTCAGCTGAATTACATGACCCAGGAAAAGAATCTGCTGCCACCCAACATTCGACCAGGCGCACTCACTCACTCCAGGTCTCTTAAAATGAGTCTGTTGGCTGAAAAGTCAAAGCTTTGTATAAGTTTTCCAGTTAGAAAATCAGAGGGCCACATGGGGAAAAAAATAAGTGTATGTGTCACCATGTAAAAGCCAAGGGCTTTTCACACCAGGCATGTACTGCTGTTAATAACTCAAACATAAACAAACATTTTACAAAAAAAGAAAACGAAGCACTTCCAGTCATTGAACTCACATGGCAACACTGCCCATCCATCGGTCTGCGCTCCTCCCACTTACGTGCTGAGGTGCAAGAAAGCAAACCTGGGCACACCAGAGACTCTCCAAAGAAACTCCTTAAAAATCAAAACACAGAGACCTTCGTCCTCAAACTATTTTAGTCCGTTACTCATCTTGCCAGGGCCAGGGGCCTCTAAGGACCACCCATCCCAGTAAGACACCAGAGGACTCAAAGCTCCACAGGTGAGCAAGCAGTCCAGCTAGAGCTGCTTTCTCAGAGGTACCAATGGGCTCGTGTCTAAGTTTGTTTGTTTTTTTAATAAAATACGTGGTATATATAAAATAATCTATCACGTACATAATTATAAAACAATAAAAACCACCCCTGAACCCGTCACTCAGCCAAAGAAATATGTCCAGCCTTTATTAAATATGAGACTCTTAGTTTATACCAGGAAAAGGATAGGTGTGATAATAAGTAGCAGTCATAGAGAGGAGCAGGGCATGTTACTGGAGAGGCTTTATTTCCTACTCAGCCACCTATGGGGATGATATTCCGTCCTAATTTTACTGAGGGAGAGAGATCAAGGGCTTTGCTTAAGGCCACATTAGGATGGGAGCGGTCTCACGGGACTCAGAACCTCTGACAGGTTCCTTCCTCAGGCCCAAATGTCTACTGCCGAGGGCACTCGGTGTTTTCATTGTCCAACCTCGTCACACCTGTGCCAAAACTCTTGCCTGTCTTGTCAAAAAGCCAGGGCCTTCAGTGGGTAGACCTCACCTCTTGGGAAGTCAGGACCCAAAATATCATAGTAGGACCGGGCACTGTCAGAAGAGGTCTCCTTCAGAAAACTCAATACCATCTTGTAACAAATGCTGGCGTTTGCAGCGTGAGCTCAGAATGGCACTATGTTTTATTCCTTTATTTGATAAAAACAAAACACTACTTCGAACCCTACAACAGAGAAAGAAACGTATAACTCTGCTCAGGCAGAACAATAAAATAGTCAATATTTTTCTACTGTAATAAAACAATAAAAAAGGTAGGAGGAAAGCAAACACCCAGGGAAGAGCAAGAGCTGGTGGCTCCTTTCAAAAGACACTTCCTCAGAAGACAAAGAAATCGTACATGCTGAAGCATCATGGAAAGAATAGAATTTTTACTCCAAAAATCAAGAACAATTCCAGGACCATTCCAAAGTCTACCTATCTGGTTTTAAGAGAAGCAAATTTCTCAGTAGCCATCCATGCAATCAAACTGACCTCACGTAGAAAAGCCCTTCAACAACTCCAGGAGGGCCTGGCCAGGCCTTCTCCATCCCCTGCCACCATCAGCGCACTCATCTACTCTTCACAGAACCTGCTAAAGCGTAACAGCACATCACACATCTGATCCCTGTCTGAAGCCAACACCCCCCAAGAAAGATGTAGCTAGTGGCCTCTACCTGTCCATTCACCAAAACCATAAGTACCTCACACATTTTTTCCCAGAGGCACACTGGCCTGGGGTCAGGAGAACCGCCTGATTGGTAAGGCAGTTTGATTATCAGGGAAGAGCACCTATATCCAGAACAAATCTGCTTTCTAAAAAGCTGAGTCCCTCTGGTTTCCCCTACCTGGAGAATCATATTCTGGCGCTTAACATCTTCAACAAGTTCTGCAGTTGATCAAAGCCAAAAAATTGTTTCCAACTCCATTAAGATATAATTGAAGGCCAAAATGAATTTTAAAAACAAAAATATAAAGTCCAATTTCATTTATAAACAGATTAATCCTATGCTTCCCAACAGATTCGGAATATAAGAAAGGCTTGGAGGGAGTGCCCAGCCTCCTGTGACCAGGCACTCAGCCACCCTTGGGAGCAGCAGGCCAGCCTCTCCAAACATGGCCTCAGATCTGCTGCAAGAGTGAGCTCAGGCCTGCAAACAGGGCCACAAGAATGTTTACCAAGACATGACAAAATCAGAGGGCAGTCCCAGGGGCAAACAAAGCCTGAGCCATCCCCCAGAACACTCCTAAATAAAGGGCAGCATGCGAAGAAGTGACTGCTTGCACTCCTGGCCCCTCGGCACCCAGTAACCACAGCGGACCAGACAGAGAGGCCACAGCAAGCCTGACACTGAAGCAGAGGGCTGTGCCTGTGGGCACGGCCCACAATGGGCCCCATTCTCCCTAGAAGCTCATGGCAGGAGGGGAGAGGGGAAGCCAGGACATTCCTTCACCCCCTCACATGGAGGAAAAGGGCACAGGCAGCCTGGAGAACCAGAGGCATAAGAAGAAAGCATAAGAAGCCATTTTTCTTTCCAGCTGCATGAATCGAAAAAGGGACCCTCCTGAAAAAAACAAAACAAAACAGAATGGAGACCTGAGGTGCCATTGATTAAATCAGGTGGATTAAATGGCCTGCATGAGAGTCCCCTCTCTGGTCAGCAAAGCTTAACCAGAAGGAAAAAAACTCAGGGCTTTGAAGAGACAGGGGACCCCATGGATGCTGTCAGCTTGGAGCTGGCACTGTAAGCAAAACAATCAAGTTCTGCTAAAAATGTCTTCCCAGTGCCAAAGAATCTAGTCACTGTTTAAACTACTTTTAAAACTGAAAAAAAGCACATCTTCAGACTGGCAAACACAGTGCTTTAAGTCTATACTGTTGACCCCTCTGACAAAATATTGTGATCTTTTGCAGGTAAGCAGAAGCAACAGCTGGTAGCACAAATTCAGAGGAGAGAGTAAGACAGGAATCCTACTGCTATCTATTTGTGATTTTAATGAATTCTATTTTTAGAAATTTAATAAAGAGCTTCTCTTCTAGTCTCCTCCTACCAAATTTCTCTACTCAGGCAATTCAATCCTCCCAACACTGCTCAAAAGTCTAAAAATACAAGACACTTATTGAGGCATGCTTAACAAACAGGTAGAGCAAAGTTCTCTACGGTTCCTCATTTTCCACTAGACTCAGAATCCACTCCTACTCAAGGGCTACTCTTGAGGCAGGTCCCCATTATTAAAAACTCCAGTAAGCAAGGCTCCTTAAGGTCCGGGCGGATCTGGTACAAAGACAACCTACCGGCCAAGCAGGAGTATACACAGGCATTTACAGCAATGAGAGATGGTGTCCCAGGTTCTGAATAACAGCCAAATAAAAAGGAAATGCTATTTGGAATTCCATTATCCACTATATTATTTTTTTGTGACAAAAACTGGCTAGAGAATCAACCCAGCCCTGGAGAACAAGAGAGCTAATCAAGAGAGGCGTTTGACAACTAAGGAAGAAGTGGTTCACTTCTGCCATTGACAGACAGCCTTGGGAAGCTTCTTACGTAATCCCATAGCAACCCCTGGAATGCCTGGGGGAAACGCTCCCAGCACACGGGTACAACACCGGGATGACCACAATATTTGCAAAAACAAACATATTCCAATTCCACTAATCTGTTTCAATAAATATATACCAACTATTAGAAAGAATTCTGTAAGAGGTGCTTGTTTGTAGATTCCCATGCTCCATATACAAAAACTCAAAATCCAGAGACATGAAGGGCAAATGCCAAAACAGGGGACCGAGCTGGGCACTGGCCAGTGTTTCCTTGAGTATGACACATACTTCCAAGTGCTTCACTCATCCTCATCCTTGAGCTCCCTTCACCTGGCACACTTGCTGATATTCAGAGTATCCAAGGGCTGTGACTGCCTCAGGAAGAATGAATTTGTGGCTACATGTACCCTCAATAACAGGGAACATCAAGTCTGGACCTCTCTGTGGCTATAAAAAAAAATCGCACACCCATGCAAGTCACAGGAAAGGGACTAAGGAAAACATACACAGTGCTTAAAAAGAAAAATCAATACAAACCTGCCTTGACATTATAGGTGTGCTCCTCCAAGACTGTTAAGTCACGTCTTACTTTTTCAAAAGCTTTATATTTAATGTTATGGTGATAACAAAAAGATTCTAAAAAAACTTTAAGTACAAAGATATAAATTGCCATATTATCTATTATAATCAAAGTAAGAAACGACCATCTAAGAACTGGGGACAGGTAAATCATTAAAACATTGTATTTATAGGGCAATGTTCATGCTATAATGTTAGGAGGGAAAATCAGGATAAAAATTAAATCTATAATCTAAACTTGGTAAAAGTGCTACCCTACATCCCTCTCTGGAGGACACCCAAGAATCAGGGAATGATGGCTGATGCTATAGCGGAAAACTGGGGACTAAGGTGGAGAGAATAAAGATTTCTTTCTCTTGCATAATCCTGTTGAACTTTTTGAGTTTGTATCATGTATTGGCCTTCCCTATTTAAAGAAAGAATAAAATTGGGGGGAGGAGGCAAGGGATTTTTCCTTTTCTTTCTACTTTTATTTCCACATTTCTTATTTTAAATATGCATATTATCTGATACAGCTTTTTGCCCACTATAATGTTTTAAAATTCCATGGTTAATCATTTTGCCAAGTATGTGTCTATCCTTCATCTTTCTTTTGCAGAAACCTCTTTTCAAGTACCTTACCTCACCTTCTAGTGCTAGGCTGCTTTACAAGCCTTATCTTCCTGGAGAGCAGGGGCCCTGCAGGAAAAGAAGGAACCGATGTTGGTGAAGGCCCGTAATCGAAACAGAATTATACTCCAATGACCAACTCCAAAGGAAGTGGGGAATGCCACTCAGTCTCCTGCCCACACTACCAATTAGTCACCCTTCTTTGTCAAAGGGTGACAAAGAAAGTGAAAGGTTTTCTATAGAGTCAATCCAGGACCAAAAATTTTAAAGTTTCAAAGATATGAAATTAATTTCAAAGTCTAAAATTTAGATAGCGGTGTTTTAAAACAGCTCAGGAAGGTATCACTGAAAAACAAACCTCAACGCTCTTAAATGCACCCCATGATGTGTAGGGTAAAGACATTCAGTCATAAAAGCGATTTTTTATATTCAGCTGATTGTACCCACTAGAATTTTGCTTTTAAAATATAAATATAAATTAAACTGACATACCGCTAAAGTTTCATTCGGATTTACTTCACTCCAACAAGAGAACACAGAACAGTTTAGCCAACACAGAAACTCTCAGTTTATGACATCGTACCACTGCATCCCATCCATCTTTCTACCCTCGACCCAGAACAAGGCTAAGAAAATGCTTAGCTATCAAACCTAAAAAATAGGAAAATAGGAACCCCTATTCATTAAGGCTAAATTAAGCCCTCTGGCTGGTGCAATTTTGTAAACTACTCTAAAATCCTATTTATAAAAATTGCTATCTGAGCAGTATTACTAATGATCAGAGAGAAGAGGGAGGGTCAACAGGCAAAGCAGGTTATGTGATCACGGGAAGACTGCTTTAAATGAATACCCAAAGGCAGGGACACACAAAGATGTACTGGAAAGTGATCAGATTAATCACTTATATTTTCAAAACTGCCATCACCTTACTTCAGAGACCAGGAGTGCCACCACAGGAAAAGCAGAGAAAGATGGGGGTTTGGGAAGAAGAGCACAATAACACCGGCAAAGGCACAGAAAACACTCTTTAATATGGAAGAGGAAAATTTACTCTAGGAAAAAGAGGGAGAAATCCTTGACCAGCACACAGGACAATGAAGAACACACTACCTGAATCTATTCTCACTTTGAGATCCCTTGAGGTTCAATAATGTCACTCCCTAGTCCCCATCTGGGACCCCTCAGGAGTTCAGACCAGCATTTCTCACTTCTTTGATACTCTGAAAGCCTCCAACTAGTCACGTTCTGCAGTGGCTCAAATCTAAATAGCACAGCCAGGAACCTAGATATTGAGCAAAGTTCTCATTGCTGACTTCCCATACAAGTCAAAAAAAAAAAAAAAAAAATCACAAGGCCTCACTCTTACTTATCTTGCCCATCAAAAAAATGGGTCTATCACCATTTGCCATTCTCCTAGGCTATTATCAAGAAAGCTATGACTAAAATAAATCCAACTCGAAAAGTCAAACACAGGTAAAGGGGCTCTGATTTCACATCATCATGGGCCACCCTTACTTTGCCCTGCCCAGGTCAAGTCTTCAAGCCAATGGCAATTCTTTCAACGAATCCGGCCTAAGGCCACATCACTCCTGCCATGATTCTGAGTCTACTAAAAGGCAGACATTTTAAAACATACTGGTCCCCTACCCCACCAAGTGGGTCAACAAATCATGCTTTTTCCTTCCTAAGCCTATCCCTTCTTCACCATTACTTTCTGCCACTCTGGTCTCTCTCCTTCAACTGTACCCCTGTGACACTCAAAACTGGTCTCCTGATGTCTCACCCCTTCATGCCAGGGGCACAGGTACTATACCACACAGAACTGCCAGGGGCTTGCCACAGGTCCAGCTCAGCCTTCAGGTCAACCTTTTGCCCTGCTTTTCCCCAGAAGACACTTCCTTTGGCTCCAGCCTGTCCACTCCCAGGTCCTCAGACATGGCCTGTTCTTTCCCTCCTCCTTGGGTGAACTCTTCTCTGTTCACCCAAGAACAGCCCCTCATCTTGCCTGCGTGCTACGAAGACTCACGCCTTCCCCACTTCCTGCAGTCTAGGGGCCCCTTCTTTATTCTTAGTCTCTCGAGTCCTCGCCAGTGCTTGCTGATGCTGCCTTACATTTTCGTCTTCTCACTGTCACCTCCTGTTCCTTCTACTAAATGGCAGATCCCTGATAGTACCAACATTCAGGTCCTTAACATCTGCTGAACTAACTCATCTTGAATCTTCTTTCTCTCTCTCTGCTCCCCTGCTGACCACTGTCCTTATTCGGGTCCACTGTGTCCCCACTGGACCCCAGCATTAACCAACTTGCCTCCGGTCCCATCTCTACAGTCGCACTAGGGGCTCACTTCTTAAAACCGAGAGCTGGTCCCACCACGGCTGCACTTTAAGGTTCCCCATTTCTATATAACTCCAAAATCTCTCATGTGGCATTCTGGTTCCAACTCGACCTTCCAGACATACACGAAAGGTTCCCAGTCTTCCCCCTCCCACCCCGTGCCTCTGCTCGCCTCTTTCCTTCCACAGAGCTGTGATCCCCCTGCCACCACTACTTCACCAGTCAAACCACTAACCTTTCTTGAATTCCCAGCTCAAAGCAGGGCTGCCCTAAACTCTGCCCTCCCCAGCCTATGATCCAAGCTCCGCAGCTTACTTCAGCACGATGCAACCACCACAGGCCCCAGTAAGGCTTGGACAAGCCCTTGTTTCTGAGAATGGTCACTCAGAACATGTTCCTGGAGTTGCACATGGGTTCCTGATCACCTCTCCCATACCATCCTGGTATTCTGCCACCACCAGACACCTGGGCTTGGTCTACCCAGAGAAGCACCCAACCAAGGTCACCATTATATCTGACACAACACAGATGTAGATGGATATAGCCAAATGTTCGACCCGAGTTCAAATTCTAACTGCAGGACGTGGTTCCACAGTGTAGCGGTTAGCAAGTCTGCTTTACACACAGAAGGTCCTGGGTTCGCACACCAGTGGTGCCACGGTCCATGGTCTACGGCCATGCCACCCTGAACAAGCCCGATGTCTGATCTCGGAAGCTAAGCAGGGTCAGACCACCTAAGAAAACCAGATACTGTAGACATAAATAATTTAAAAAAAAAAAAAAAATCCTAACTGTCACATAAGGACAGTTGTGTGACCTTGGGAACATTCCTTCATCTGTGACTCAAGTTACCTCAGCCACTTTAAAGGATTCTCAGAAGCATTAGCAATGGTGCACGTAGAGCAGAAACACAAGAGGCCCCTGACTGTGGCTGATATAGGTTCATCGAATCACTGACCCAGAAGCAGAAAAGGCTGGAACAACTGTGAGGTTAAAGAATTGAACATGTTCTCATCTGCCTCAACAAGGATGAACACACGTCTACTCTCACAGGTCAATATGCCAGCCCTGCCCAGTAGGAAATGCAATGCCCCAAATCCAAGCGACAGAAAAGGTTTTAACAATCAAATGCCATGTCTCTCCTTTCTTAAAAACAATTTCAGTGGCCCCAGGGTCCCTCCAAACCCCACCATTCTCAATGTTTAACAGACACCAGCAAATCTGCAGAAGAGGTGGTTAAAATTCTTGGTCATGCTTAGTCTCCTGACCCACACATTCCTGAATGCAAGCTCCTCCCCCATCACAGCTTGGTAGCCCCTCTGCTCTATCTTTTCCGCCTCTTCTCAGCTGGCTCCTCCCCGCTTCTCATCTCCCCTCTCCTGGCTGACCTCACAGCCAGAGGTCCTGACCCCTCCCTGGCACTACCTATGTGGCCACCAGGAAGATCTTTCTAAACACAAGTCTGGAACATGCCACTCCACGGATTAAAAGCCTTCTCAGGCTCCTGCACTCTGAATATGAAGTTTGAAGTCCTGAGCACAAGAAAGGCCCAGGGTTCCTAACTATCAAGCTGGAGGACTGACAGGTGCTATTTTAGGCACTCAGGTACATGTGGTTCCACGTTCGACCTTGCTGTCACCCAGCTAATTCCTGTTGGCCCTGCAAGCCTCAACTCAGGAATTCCCTCTCTCCTCAAGCTACCAAAGCACTATGTGGGCACACACCTTCCATCTTTGGTTCCCTAACTCCCACTGTCCCCCAAACTGAGTTCCTTCAGGGTAGAACCAGCCTCTTCTGCATGGGTCCTCTGGACCTACCACAGAACTTGGCAGGTAGTAAAGCCAAATACTTGTTAAACGAATGAATGTATTTTGCCAAATCAAATTTTTAGAACAGTGAAGACTTGCCCTCTGCCTCTTTCAACAGAGGCACATATCAACACAAGCATTCATGTTCCAACCAGGTGTTTGCTGCCTATATAGATAGTATTGCCCGCTCCAACTTTCACACAGTATCCCAGAGGCTTTGAGCAGGCTCACATTATGCATCCAACTACCTCCTCAAATCAAGTTTGCCCAAGAAATGGCTCCTCAGCCTCCTTTAAAGTATGAAGGCCATAGGCTCTTACTTCTTGGCTCAAAGGTAAACAAAATCCAATTCAACTTCTCCATATTCAAATTACAGATCTTTGTTCCTCCAAGGTTGAATTCTTTTTTAAAACAGGAACATTCCAAAAGCATGTGTCCGAACATTAAGCATAGAACAATCTGATAAAGTTACAATATCCCACCTACACCAGATTCCAAAACACCTGGTACCACATCCAACTCTTTATCTGGACTTATGTCCTATAAACACCAGCCTTCCTGCACGGTCTGGGTTCCATGCCAGATATCACTTCTACTC